AGATCAAAATGTTCGACGTAAGAACGAAAGGCTTTTGATAGCGTCGCAAAATGTCTTTTTAATAGCCTGTAAAATCACTAGTAACTATTAACATTTCAATGCACATTGTCATTTTCATTTAAGAATGCATACGATCTCAAGTGTGTGCAAAAACTAAATAAATAAAACACAGAGACAGTCTCTTTCTCATAATAAGAATTCATTGTGAAAAAATTTTTTTATTTGTTCTATAGACTGCAAACGACAGTCACCTTCGTGAATTATACATAAGAGCATTCCATAGCATGGAATCTCGTTTGGACACGATTTCCGGGCTGAAAAAGACGGTACAGGGGCATTACGGTTTTTTCGTCAGCGCGACGCTCGCTCGGCGCGCGTTGAGATCAACTCTGATCCAAGAGCGATGCTCCTTAAAAGAGCTACCTCTGCCGCAGACCTTCACGATGGTGGCTTTGCCCATGGCCAATTCCTGCCCTTACAAAAAGATTATTAACCTAACGTACGTTCCAAGAAACTTTATGCACGGTCGCATTAACTCCTTCCGGTAAAATGACGAGTGTAGCTTGTCATTAGGTTTATTATTAAATCGTACCGGAAGGGGTTAATATTCGTATTCGTAATCCAGGGTATTGCAGAAAAAATGTTAAAGCCAAAGAGTGGTAATTTTTAAAGAGTTACTAAACAATAATTTCCTTTGGCAAAATGCAAAGTGGGGAACGGCTTTTGAATTATTAACGAAAAACAGTGACACAGAATACGCATAGCCACGTGACTGAGCGCCAGCACATTGGTCAATGTTTTTCATTAATAATTCAAAAAGTGCGTCATTCTGTTTCATTTTCCCAGTGAAAATTGTTGTTCAGAAACACCTCCAGAATCACGCCTCTTCGGCTCAAACACTTTTTCTCAGTCTATATAATATTCGTTATTTGTATTCTTCCAGCATACTGAAAATACGAGAGCGTGGCGTTTTGAATCGGATAACAGAACGGATGTTGCCGGAAATGCCTAGGTGCAAGTCGCCCACGACTTTCCACAGCGCCAGGCTGGCCGACGTCTACTCAGCCTTTTTTATCCTAATCGCCGGATGCTTGTCAGCCATCTCGATTGGAATCGCGGAAAGGATTTGGAACAAGAGGCGGCAGATGAAAGAGACTATCGTTGGAGGGATGCGTCGGCATCACCTGATACCTTCGCGCTTTCCCCATTTCACGCATTTACCCCATTTCCCTTCCTTCTCTCATTTTTCTCATTTGCATTTACATCGAAACGCGCAGAACGATTTCTCCCAGGATCATGACAACAAACGCGTTGCGTCAAGTTCTGTAACCTTGGAAAATTTGCGAGCAAATGATTTGGAAATCGACGTGGAACCGGTGACGGGGAAACCTCGGTCGGAGTCGAGATTCTTTTGGAGAAGGCAAAACAATTCGAAAGGGGAGAACTGGTATCCGTTTTCGAGCCTCCACAGGGAAAAGCTCGGCAAGAATCAGAGGACCGGATCCACCGATAAGACGCCTTTCCCTTTCCACCAATAATCAATGCACGATTGCTTCCTTAAGCCTGTTGTATAACGATTTTAACCCGTTTGACATTCTCTAATTCATTATAATTTATTCAATGTCGACGGCAAGGTGCATGTAAAAGAATATGTAAATAAGTTCTCACAGAAAAATAGATCGACGAACACGGATAGCAATTTTTCACGTGTACGCTTTTTACAATAGGAATCGTCGTATAGTTTTTATAAAAAAAAAAGAGACTACTTCCGTTGCCTGCCGTACTCGCCGTACGCCGCGGTGATTTTCATCTTTGCGCTGTAAGTCTTGAACGGAGATTCGTATTTGTCCGTGTCCTCCATGCTCCTACAGTCCCTCAGAATTCCATGGTCGCTTCTAAAAAGCGCGAAGAATATTTTTCACACTCTTTCACTTATGATAAAGTCCATAAATATTCGTACACATCTCACAATCAAAAAAAAAAAGGTGGACGTATCGAAAAATATTGAATTTTCTGTTTATTCAAGTTCAAAGAGCCGGACGACGTCAAAACCTGCGATTTTCTCAACATTCAATCGTTTGTGGGAACATACTTAGGTTTGCAAAGAGCATGTTTGAAATTTTTATTAGAGAGCCGAATGAAAAACTTGTAAATTATGTCTTTTACATTTTCCTCATATCCGACGTACAGCAATTTCATTCTTATTTTTTGTAATACATGCATAGTCAACTAATCTTTCTAATATCAAAACAAAAATTAATTCAAGTTCAATATTAAAAGAGTTATTCATTTTTTAAATGTGTATGAATTTTCATGAACGCAGTAAATGAACTTTGTTCTCTACCGGCACATGACGACAGACAGATTAGGGTATTTTTCATCGTCGTTGCACCATTGCTGCCATTGCTCGTACAACGCTGCTTCACCGATTTCGTCCAAATAATAATGACAGTGGTGTTTCAATCTAAACGATATTCAATAAACAGATGCGTGTTACAATTAAAAAATTCTGTGTTACTGACTTTTTCGCCCAAAGCCCGTCCGCGGATGTGGTCACCATAACGGAACCGGGTAATCTGTCAGAAATGTACCTCGTCCCATCTACCTCGCGGAGACTGTAGCTGCTCAAGCGGTACAAATAATGTGTTTCTTGAGATGGTGGATCAATTTATTGCATATGATAACATATGATAGATGACACAATATTAATATAATACACTAGCATCCCCCGCGTCGCCACTTTCGGTTACATTTCGAGTCGCTATATGAAGAAGAGTTGCGAAAAAATGAAGAAAACAAACGAGGAAAGTCATAGCAGTGTAATTCACATTTCGGTACTGAAAGATATCGAAAATAGAGCAGCTATTCTATTGACACGCCTATATTACACGCTGTCAATTTGCAAGGTAGGAAAACTGAGGTCAGACACGGATTCAGGGTCAAAAATATTAAAACAATCGATTATTAACGTTAAAAAGAGTTAATTATTATATTGACATGTAACAACGTATGATAAATGATATATAATTTACAATTGGAAGGAGTGATCGCAGATGGCCCGCAGGAGAAGCTCGATCTCGGTGTCGTTTAAACAAGCGTTGGGTAACACTTCATGAACATCCAACAGTGTTTGATTTATCTAAGAAACGTATAAAATGTTGCTGACAAAAGTATATTTATTCCTGTTTTAAACACGTAAAATTTTTAAACAAATTTATAAAATGTAATTCAGATGTTTCAAGTTAAATTTTCCTTTTCAATGCTCCATTCAATTCCTCCTTTTAACGCAAAATACAATTAATGAATGAGACAAGGAAATGCACGTGACTAGCTGCCCCAGTCAGCACACCTTATGTATTTCCAACATGGATGCAAAGTTCTGAACGTTGCGTTACGCGATTGAGTCACATTATGAATCGAAAGGGGAGATAAAAAAGGTGAACCTTTTCTGCAATGGCAAGGCACATGCCGCACCGAACGCAGGCGGACGAGAAGTCGATATCCGTCGCGTCGCAAGATCGCGATCGGGTATACGGTATCTTCTGCACTATCCCAAACTCCGACGGATCGCAACTGTAATGATAATCGCTCGAATCCGTCGAATTCTCATCGATTGTGCTTAAAACCTGCTGGTCTTTTCGGCATCGGGCGGTCTTCTTCCTGCCGAAACACGTCGCTTGCGATATTAAAATCAGTAGAATGAACAACACGATCAAGACCTTTGCCCTCGTCATCCCCATTCGCCGAATGTCTTCTTCTCTGCTTCGCGTGGGTGCGATCGAAATTTCCAAACTCTTGCCTCATACAAAGTATTGTTAATAAGCGTGTATCAAAGGGAAAACTGGATAGAATAGGTTAATACGGCAATATTTATACAAAGGCGATAGGAGTAGTTCGAAACAAAAGAAAAACTTTCAAATTCGCTAGCCCAGCTCATTCAGAAGATTGGTCGTTCGGTCATCTGGTCAAGAATCG